TATTTTAATGTAGGGCATTATAGTATTTTTTGCTCCCTTGCTCCCTCATTCTTGCTCAGTCCTCCACCTGTTCCACCCACCAGTTTTCCTGTGCAGTGACTGGGCTCAGCATTGATAGCTTGCAGAGCGCTGTTGAAATCCGAATAAGGTGTGGTTTAGGGTTGGCCAAGCACCTGACTTACTAGGAAGCAGGTTTTTTTCTTATTTTTGTGAAGTATATTTGTAATTAGATTAATTTCCTGGTGGCTTTCTTTGGCTTGGGTTAAGCAATATTTAAAACCTGGTTGCGAGACTTTTGCTTTTCCTCTGTCCATTCAGTTTGGCGCTCTGTTCTCTGAATGCACACGCTTTGAAACATACTTTTTTTTTTCCTGGGTGGCTGTATTTCTTTCCCACATTGGACTGAAATGTGTGGGGATTCATTTTTCAAAAGGTTTTCCGCTTTAAAATGTGGCACCTTTAAATGAGATGTGTGGATTGGTCATCCTGAACGGGCTTGGAGTTTATACAAAGTACCTGCTACTTTTTAAAACCAAAAACTGAGCAAATCTGGCTGAAATCCAAATACTGTAGTACCTTTTAAGTCCCTCCCTGCCTAGTAAACAAAAGTGTTCACACCACAATTATGATAGCAGGTGCAGACATGCTTGGATCTAGTGTGTGCTTCCCCCTCCCCCTTCAAGTATCCCAGCATTTGGCTGATGCTAAGCAATAGTATTTTGGCTACTATCTGAAACTTGACTTAACAAGTTTGTTAAAAAAAATCCTTCAGGATGAAAGCATTGTTTTCTTCCCCCCCCCCCCGCCTCCACCCCTTTTAAGGCCCAGAACTATTATTCAACTGATTGCAAGCCATCAGTGTAACAGCTCTCAGTTCAAACACTGTTTTTCTCAACCCAGGCTTTTTGCTTGTTAAAAGCCAGCCCTTTCTGGAATGGGCAATGCCCTCTTAGCTCCTTGCACTTCCACAAGGAACTGTATTTTCCTGTTAGTTACTGTCCCTCAGCCTGAGGGAATGCCGAGATTCTGGTGGCAATTTTTAGAGTATATGTTTTAACTGTTTTATTTTTTTAATTATATTTTAATTGTTGCAAGCTGCCCAGAGACCTTTGGGTGGTGTGGGCGGCCTAGAAGTTAAATAAATACATTCGCCCTGCCTGCCTCAGCCCATCGAAATCCCTCTGGCCCTTAAACTGCCATTTTTAGCTTTCAAAATCTCCCGCTCTTCTCTGATTGGCTGCTTCCTCCCTGAGGCGTGATTGACGGGGATACCTCAAGAGTGCCACTCCTTCCACAGGGCTCTCACAGCAGCCATTCTGAGGGAACTCTCTGTTGTGGAAAAGGGAGCGCACAAAATGAAGGAACAGTTGTGGTGACCTGTGAGGTGCTTATGCGCCATGAAATGCACCTCAGGGAGAACCACAATGAATCTGGCAAGGTGGAGAAGGGACAAGGAGCCACCATGGTGTGTCTGTTCTTTCAGGACAGATATCACATGCATGTGTGGAGTAAGGACTTTGCAATAAAATGCAAATTTATTTATTTATTTATTTATTTATTTATTTATTTATTTATTTATTTATTTATTTATTTATTTATTTATTTATTTATTTTCTGCCCATCTTGCCCAAAGCCTTTCTGGGCTGTTCACGACACACATGCACACACACCTGCGTACACATGTGTACACACACACACACACACACACACACACACACACACACACACAAATATCAATCAAACATCATAAAACTGGTCTAAAGCATCAAAATAAACGTCAGATAAAAATGAATATTCAACAAAACCAGGGAGCATTATCAATTTCAGTCACGTTTCTCTACTCCCACAGTCTAATCCTCTCGTGGACATCCACTGAGGAGATGCTCTCCCTCATCCCATTTTCCCTCCATTTTTATTTTCCCGGTCTGCAGTTCATGCTTTGACTGCTAGAGAATACAGTTGTCTAGGAAGTACCAATAAATAGCAGGATGTTGCTCTTCAGACAGGCTTTCCTTAATAATTGGCCGTCTGAGAGGGTTTTGAAAAGATAATTTTCAATTAACAACAAATAAACAGAACATCACTAACATATCAACTTAAAAAGGAGTAAAAAAAGAAACACAATTATAATATACATTTTCAACTCCATGCTCCCCACCATCCTTGGAACTAATTTACGTATTTATTTTGCTTTATGTTCGATAATGCCCCATTTATCTCCAGAAATATAGTGATTCATCTCAGGGGGGAGGGGGTATAACCTTTCTCTTTCTCCAACACATATACCGAAAATGAATTCCATTACTGTATTTCTTTGAAATCATTTATATTCAGTATTCATTTTCTAATCTTGGTTTCACAGGTTAATTGAGTAATAAACTAAGCCGAAAGGGTTTTTTGTTTTGTTTTGTTTTTAAATGCATCATTGTGTCTTGTTTTGAATCTAGTTTTGGCACTGATTTATTTTTTACCATTTGTGTTTCCTTTTTTTTTTCATATTTGTATCCAAACTGTAGCTTTTTAAAATATTGTCTTTTAATGATATGAGTCACTGTGGATCCTTTCTAAGGAGAAAGGCAGGGTTAAACTATTTGATATCAATACATAAATAAATTGAAAGAGCTGAAGGGTGTGTGTGAAAGTAACCCTAAACCGAAATGGGCTCAATGTGTACATGTTATTTGTTTACGTATTTAAACTGACACTTTGAGCTGTTTACAATCCAAACTTTTTACTCTGTGAAAAATCAGTAGAACTAGCTGAAAGAAAGGAAGAAGAAATAAACAAACCAACCCACATACACAAATGTACACACACATGCACACACACACACACACTCCAGGAATTTTCCTTTTGGCAATCTTCCACCTCTAACCCTCGTTGCATGTGATAGTAAGAAAATTTATTTAGTTCATTTCTTATTTATTTAGTCAATTTGTATCCTGCTCCCATCAGTATCACAGCACTCCTCTGGGCAGATTACAACAAAAATGGAAGTCTCTTTGTGCTGAGGAGAGGGAATGTGTGTTCAAGGTGGTTGGTGTCCGCTTGTTTGGTCCACCCCATCACTTCTGGCTAGGAATGGCCTACGAAATGTTTTCTTCTGCTCCATTTTTGAGATATGAGACTGTTTGTGGTGGCTCTTCTTGACTCTCCAAAGAAGTTACTGTGCTAAGTCTGCTGCAGGAAAAAAAAATAACAAGTCAATCAAGGGTCCCATGGCACCTTTAAAAAACGAACAGCTTCTTATCTGGCATGAGCTTTTATGGGCATGACTCCTTTCTTCAGCCATCATGCAGTACAGTATTCCAGCCGGACATTTATATTGCTCACTGGTTATGGCTGAGACGGTGAGATAGAATGAAGGGTGTTATAGAATATGACAACTGTATTATCATTATCTTTAAAAGGGCTGGTTTACATCCTGGTAACATTGTGGTCAATTAATTGTACAAGTCAGTTGTCCTCTGAGGTGTTAAAGCAACAGTTTCTGCTTTCAAGCAATTTATTTATTTTATTTTTATTTTATTAGATTTATACCCCGCCCATCTAGACCAAAGGTCTACTCTGGACGGCATCACAAATTTAAAAACAGTAAAACCAATAAACATGCCATAAATCCAAGATGTTAAAATGTGAATTTAAGATACAACAAGTGTCTGTTTTAGCAGAAGTCAAGAGTGAGGTGTTTTCCCTCATAGTCCTTTTCGAATAATCATACAGAGCAAGATAGTAATATGGGCAAACCTGCATGGATGAGTCAATTAGTATGGTATGTAATGATTTTTTCAAAAAAAACCCATACTGTCCCTATTCCTAACTACTTGCAAGTAAACCTGTAGCTTTAATACAGTACTCTTTGCACCAGAAGACCTGCATTATCATCTACAAAAGCTCATTCCAAATAAAATGTGGCAGTCTTGAAGGTGTCACAGGACACTTCGTTGATTTTAGTGTGACATACAGTGGGGTCTTGACCTGAGAACTTAATCCGTTTTGGAAGGCGGTTCTCAAGTCAAAAAGTTCTCAAGTCAAATCTGCATTTCCCATAGGAATGCATTGAAAACCATTTGATCCGTATCTGCTCTTTTCCGTCCATAGAAACTAATGGGAAGCTGCTATTCTGCCTTCGACCACTAGAGGGGGATATTTTGTTTCTTTTTTTCTTATGTCAAGAAAGGTTCAGGGAAGGCAGGGAAAATACAGTCCAGGCAGTACAGTACCAGGCAGTCCGAAGACTGTCTCCCAGTCCACTCTCTAAACGCTGGGAGGAGTGAGGAAGCAGACAGGCACCCTTTTCACTGGCCAACCGTTAACTGAAAGTTCACATTTTGCACTTTCCCTGCCTCCCACGTGGTTTTTTTTCAGTTCTTAACTCAAATCTTAGTATGTAAGTCAAGTCAATATTTTCCTATGAGAGTGGTTCTTAAGTCAAAATGTTCTTAACTCAAGCCGTTCTTAAGTCAAGACCCCACTGTAGTAATGGCAGTCTTGAAGGTGTCACAGGACACTTTGTTGATTTTAGTGTGACATAGTAAGATGGCTATCTCCTCTTCAGTTTTTTAGCTGTATGCATTTATTAGCACATGAACTGAAAAGATCAGGGAGAATTCCTTCTGATGATGGAAATCTAACAAATTAATAAAAGATCCATGCATTTATTAACAGTGACAAAGATCATACATTGAAGAAATGAAAATACATTATATCTTAGTTAAGGTGTATTTTGTTTTATCTTGTTGAGGATCTTCTGATTGGATCACCAAATCTGTTTCAGCTTCTCCCACAATTAAAAGAAAGCAAAAATTCTTTCTGTGCTGGAAATGAAAAAGTTCATCATTTTTGCTGAACTTCTATATTTAAAAAAAGAAGGAGAAAGAACACCTCCCCCTGTCCTTAGTCAGGGTTATATTGTGATTTTGCTTCAGTTGCATACTTAAAATTCTGTACCAATAATGCAATTTCTGTTTTCTGCTTTATTCTTTCCTTCTGCTCCCCAGCCCAGAACTGCAGTTACGTTTTGCAAGGTCCAAACGGGACGATACAGAGTCCGGGATTCCCGTACGGCTATCCAAATTATGCAAACTGTACATGGACAATCACGGCCCAGGAACAGAACCGGGTGCAGCTTGTATTTCAGTCCTTTGCGCTAGAGGAAGATTTTGACGTGTTATCCGTTTATGATGGGTTGCCCCAGCAAGGAAATCTAAGAACACGGTACGAAAGGTGTGCGTCTGCTTGGGGGTAGGGATGAATCTCTTTGGTCAAGCTTAACTGTCCTGTCTTTGACGGGAACTGGAGTGTACATAAACACATAAAGATGTCTGCTCGTCAGATTAAAACACTCGGATAGAGGGTTTTATGTTGCACTAAAAGCCAAGCCTTTATTTTTCTTTTTTGTCGAGTTATCTCAGCTGTCTGGATTTCACAGACTTGATAAAGCCTTGAAAATATTGCTTTAAAGTATTCAGTGACACAGTCTTATCTGGGCCATTGCTGCTTCAGATTTCTGGAGAAGTTAATTAGACTTGGGATGGTAGAAACCCTGGGCTTCAAGAGAAAGCTTCTTAAAAGTCTAGTCACTTCCTTATTTCCTCACTGCCTTTGTTAAGGATTGCAGATTCATACTGTACTTGGTAACTTCTGAAAATATAGAAGTGAGAGTTGGTGCACCCTATCACCAAACGTTATGGTTCCTGTGTGAGAAAGGAATGCTAAAGAAATGAGGAAGGACATTTAGAAAGGATAGCATTCCTTCCAATAATATTTTGATCTACGTACAGAATCTAAGCAAGATAGGGAGAAACACTGTGTGTAGCTCTGTCTGTCTGGGCTATCTGTCGTAAAGCTGCAGGTCTGTACTCTGGCAGCACCCAATGTACCTGATGGCAGATTATACAAAGAGATGCTTGTTTTAATATTTCTCAGCGAGGCTCGGCCTTGTCGCTAACAAAGACTAGCAAAAAAAATCTGCTTGGTTTAAAAGCAAAATAAAGCTACCTATTTGTTCTGAAGGCTGATCGAGTTTAGTAAAGAAGGGTGATGGTCTGGTTACAGGTAAGTGATGGAAGGACACAAGTAAAGTTAAAGTGGGGAAGTTTTAGAATTATCCAGAGTTGGAAAGTTACTTTTAATAAATAGTTATTTACAGGGCCCCCTCAGGCTGGTTTGTTATCACTGCATTTTATTTATTTATTTTATTTTATTTTATTTATTTAACTTATATGCCGCCCACACTACCCAAAGGGCTCCGGACGGCTTACAACATTTAAAATACAATAAAAAGGCAAAATAATTAAAAAGCAATTAATATATATATACTCTAAAAATTGCCATCGGACCCACAGCTGATATAATTTCAATTAAAAGCCTTCTGGAACAGGAAGGTTTTGACCTGGCGCTGAAATGTCATCAGCGTCGGCGCCAGACGAATCTCAGTCGGGAGGGCATTCCATAGTCTGGGGGCAGCTGCTGTTGTTACTACTGTATTTGTATTTGTATTTTTTTTTTTTACTTTTATGTTTCTCAGGGGTGAATAGAATTGTTGCTTTACTTACTAAAAAAAACCTCCTGAATTGGTCTGTAGTCAGTGCTGTCAGAAGGTGTTCTGCTGCCTGAAGTGAGAGGAAATGCACTATTGCCCTCCAATTCTCTACACCTAGAGGGGGAAGGAGGGTGGCAGGGACTATAGTTTTCTTGATGCTGGCTGCCTGTATCACCCAGCCACAACTCAGTGAGATGTCTGTGTAATACCATGACCCTTAAGGTTTGTTGTTTAGTCATTAAGTCGTCTCCGACTCTTGGTGATCCCATGGACCAGAGCACACCAGGCCCTCCTGTCTTCCGCTGCCTCCCGGAATGTGGTCATATTCATGTTGGTAACTGGCCCTTAAGGTACTTGTTGCCAAAGCATTGCACATAAGGCTAAGAAGCAGACAAGCTATGCAACTGAGCACTAGCACCACTGGGCAGGGCTGGAGTAAGACCTTTAGAGGCCCTAAGCATAGTGCCCCCTATGAATATAACACATGGAGGCACCCACAGCTTGAAAAAATATGGTACGACGCCCTATGAATATAACACATGGAGGCACCCATAGCTTGAAAAAATATGGTACAACGCACACATTATATACATGAAGCTATGGTAATTTAATTGTATTGCATGTTTCAACAAAGAACTACATAAAATATATAAATATAATCAAATTTCCGGGTTCCAGCCAATTTTTGCACTTCCATACTTTGATTGACTACAGACAATCTGTAAACTGTCCGGGTTCCAGCCAATTTTTGCACTTCCATGCTTTGATTGACTGCAGACAATCTGTAAACTGTAAAGCTCATATAAGAGCTTAAATCCCCCTTTGGGGTATTTTTAACAGCAAACTGTAAAGCTCAAACAAGAGCTTAAAACCCCCTTTGGGGTATTTGTAACAGTGGTTGTTATTTATCTGGCTTGCACATACAGTGCATAGGCCATGAGTCTAAAAGACCAGTTATACCGCGAAAGGAGTGAAATTCTGCCTCTTTAAAGTGCAACGGTAACATGATGTAATTGCACCTTTGCTATAGAGAAGAAGCTCAAAGCCAGAGGCTCAAACAAGAGCTTAAAACCCCCTTTGGGGTATTTGTAACAGTGGTTGTTATTTATCTGGCTTGCACATACAGTGCATAGGCCATGAGTCTAAAAGACCAGTTATACCGCGAAAGGAGTGAAATTCTGCCTCTTTAAAGTGCAACGGTAACATGATGTAATTGCACCTTTGCTATAGAGAAGAAGCTCAAAGCCAGAGGTGCACAAGCTTGTATTTTTGGACTGCAACTTCCAGAATTCCCTAAGCAGTTATGGTGCCTAAGCAATTCTGTAGTTCAAAAGCAAACATATGCACCGCTTTATCAAAATCTTTTTCTGTACGAATGAATCAGCTTTGCTTTCTTCTACATATTTAAAAAGAAAGAAAAATGGGTTTTGTCAAATATATAAGCAGTTTGCACATTTTGAGAATGTTTTTCATGAAACAAATGAAATTTCACTCCTCCCTGCCTGATTTATTTACTTATTTATTTCGCATGTCGCCAGAATTGCTGGTAGGTATAGAAGAGTATGTTGTTTTGAATTTCTTGTAGAATTCCTTTTGCAATGCAGTAGAAGTACAGAGACTCAGAGTTTTGAATTTCTTGTAGAATTCCTTTTGTGATGCAGTAGAAGTACAGAGACTCACAGAGAGAGGACCAACAGTTTGAAGTAACCCTTTCTCCATGCCTTGCTTGTTAACTAGCATTTAAAGTCTCAGTAACTCATTCTGAAACATTTGTAGGAGAAAGAATAAAAATATTTTATTACTTCGTTGTGAACAGATCAACAGTAAATAAATATCTGACTTGAACAGACTAAAGAGAGGGAAAAGAACACACAGAGAGAGGTCAGGCTCTGTTGAACTCAGGGGTGGAAAGGAATCACTGTTTACTGCTGGATAGGAGTCACCCCAGCCATAAAAGCTCCTCCCAGTCACTGGTAATTTAATTGTATTGCATGTTTCAGGCACCATGCGAGGTTGTAAAAACTCCAACATAATAGCAGTTGGAGTATATTTTGGGGTGTTCATGAGAAACCTTTAAAAATCCTCTGAAGGGTTTTAAAGTGTTCAACATAAACAGTAGAAAAAAACAATTTGTTTTCATGATGAACAAAAAGCTCAGACATCCCTTGCGGCCAACACTCTGCTTGGTCCTTCTGTTTCTCCCCAGAGCTTATCAAACTGTCATTAATTACACCATTGTGTCTGCAGTGTTGTTGTTTTTGGTTTGCATGGCACACTGACAAAAGGATTTCTAAATTTCTGCTAAATGTGTTTATGTGTAAGGATTCCTGGGGGTGGGTGGGGCTGGTTGTAGCTCCCTGATGGAGCACATACTTCATGTGCAGAAGAGCACTATTTGAGTTAGGGATGTAGAAGTATCTCAGGTATAGCTTGTTACCTTTTGCCAGATCCCATCTGCATTTTCATGCTCTCCTGGCTTTCTGTTGGGATGAAATGTCTTTTTAGCTCTGTCCTGAAATTTCTAACACATTTTCCTAATGTGTGCATTGATTTGCGGTTTTTACTGAAGTTATGCTGCCTTTCATATTTGGGCATAGTTTTTCAGTTCTGTGCATTTTTAGCCATTCATATTTTAAAACCTATGCCTTGTCTTGGAAATACTTTGTTCTTCTGAGGAGTCCTATGAGTCTCAGAAATGTGTTGAGTTTTCAAGGCAAGGTGTTGTGTTTGTAGCCCCAGGAGTAGCGTTGCAAAGAATAATTGCTAAATTCCTCATTCTCATCCAATTAGGTGGTCTTGATACTTTGAGACACTTCATGAGAAATTTCCAAGCCCTGCAACATTCTTTGTATTCCAGAGATGAGAGAAAAACAAGGGAGGCTTTTTTCCTTCATCAGGATTTCTGTAGTTTGACTGCGATGTATCACTGGCAGTCTGCATAAATCTAGCCTCCCTTCCCGTTGAGAAGCAAAACATGTACACCACAAGCACAGGAGGATAGGCTGGTTGTTAAAGAAAAGCACAGCACAACCTGTCCAAGATTTCTGATCCTTAAAAGTTCACAAAAAAAGAAAGCAACAATTGCATTTTCATGTATTTTATGTCACTGGCACAAGATACACAATTCTGTGTAAAAATGCAGAGTTTTTGACAACAAAGTTGTTTTGCAGATTCTCCTCCTCAGCTGTGAAGACCAGAGAATTAAGGATATGCATTTTCTGTTAGAGAGGCATGAAAACTGTAATTTCCTTGAATTAAAGGAATGATTTCCATGAGGCCATGGCATTTCTGTTTCCATGGACCCTGGATGCTAAGGCTGGGAATGAGCTTTTTTTCAGAACTTTGAGATCTTCTCCAATTTAGACTGGACCATGGTAAGACCAGTTTAGTTAGGCAACTATACATAGGTGCTTTAGTACAGGGCACCCAGGTATATTCAGCTTTTCATTTGAGGGACTAGTCCAACTTCCCATGAAAAAGACCCCACAGATGATCAGGGACCTTTGAGGTGTCAGTGGCACACAGGCCACCTTTTCATTATCTTCCCTACTCAAGCAAAATGCCTTTCTATGTATATATCTTTACATTATGAAAAAACAATGTCTAATTACTATGCATACATTAGCAGAGATAATTGTATGCAAACTGGTGCCCTCTTTTGTCATCTTTTTTC